CGTTAGGTTTGATCAGTCCTTGATCTGAAGGGCTCAAGGTTCTTTGATCGCTATAGACTTGATCACAGGAGAGGGGTATGAGGATGAGAACGAGGATAGTGCTCACTATGTTAATGCCCATGGCTTAATCTGCGAGGTTTAGGTTGTGTTGTAAAGCGTTGTTGTGTAATGGGTTTACATATAGGGCTATATAAAGATTTTGTTTTTTTTTTTTTTTGGTTCTTTTTTTTTGGTTTTTTTTGGTTAGGGATTAAGGTGTCACACAATTTTCGAGGTCCATGCACGAATTGTAGGACCTCACACATTCCATATGCCTGTCGAAAACGGAATGCCGTAACTACAGTGCACTTCGATATATCAGGTTAAAAGTGGTTTAAGTTTACTAGAATGCTTGTACTTAGAGTTGGGATGTTTGGTCTTTTTTTTTTGTAAAACTATAATTGTAATATAAGTTTCAATTGCATGTAATCACAGTCGCTTTTAACTGTTGTGGCATATGATTGTAGGATGCAGTTTCACTCGTAGTTGTATGTATTTGTTTTAGTGTATCAACTTTTTTCGACTTTTGTTGAGGGCTGGTTGCATTTGGAGTTGCAATTTATTGCAATTTACTGCATTTGGTGAGTGATCATATACAATCGGAGGTGTTTTAATAGTTGAAGTTGTATATTAGTTGCATGGAAACAAAAAGCTGCAACTTACTTAAGATAGCCAATTCGGCAGTTGTAAGTAATTGTAGTGACAACCTACGGTGGTAATGAATCAATGGACTACTTGAAGAAATTCTATATAGAGGTAGTTTACTAATTTTAGGGATATTTTATTATTTTCTTCTTAGCTAAAAGGGAGTGCGTAACTTAAGAAGAAGTTTTGTTAAATTTACCTTATTAAAACTCCCACAGTCACACAGCCATTAATATATTCAACGGTCAAACTTAAGAGTGAGTTCTGTTGAGTTTACCTTATTAAAACTTCCGTGGTAATCCTACTGGGAAATCAAAGCCTTATATTTTACAAGAGGCTTACACCGTTCATACTGTTCATACTTGCTAAAATGTCTATCAAAATGTGATTTTTAAGAATTCAAATCCAAGATGTTTCTATTTATAACTCCTTAACTCGCTAGTCCATTCCACTCAATCTGCCTTCCGATCTGGCAAATCCACACTAGACTCCATTGTCCTGAGTCATGAAATGATCAATCATTGTTTTTCCAAAAAGGTTGAAGCATGCATTGTCAAAATAGATTTTAGGAAAGCTTTTGATTGTGTCAGCTCGGACTCCCTCCTATCCCTCCTTAAGGCCAGGGGGTTTGGTCAGAGATGGTGCATGTGGATTCACAACATTCTCACCTCCTCTAAATCATTTGTTCTGGTCAATGGATACCTAACTAGTACCTTCAAATGTCATTGAGGTCTCAAGCAAGGGGATCCTCTATCCCCATGATGTTCCTGCTTGTGGTCGACGTGCTATATAGAATGCTTTTCAATAGCACTGCCCAAGGTGATCTTTCTGAACTTCACCTTAAAGGCAAACTGAATGACATTAAATCTCTCCAATTTGCTGATGACACTCTAATCTTTTGTAAAGTAGACATCTCCAACATATCCACTCTCAAGTCCATTCTTTACCTCTTGAAGAGGTTTCGGGTTTGGGTATCAACTTCTCTAAATCCAACCTCTTCTATAGTGGTAGGTCCATCACTCGGGGTCCTCTCCTTGCCAACATCCTTAACTGTTCATATGCTTCCCATCCTTTCAAATACCTAGGTCTCCCTCTTAAGAAAGGGTCTCTTTCTAAATCTGAATGACAGCCTCTTCTTGACACATTCCACAAAAAACTTTCTCTTTGGAAAGACAAACAACTCTCTTTTGGTGGTCGCTTAGTGCTCCTAAACTCAGCCCTATCCTCCCTACCTCTATACTACATGTCCTTCTTTAAACTTCTCAAATGGCTCATCAAGGCTATGGATAAGATCAGATGCAATTTCTTATGGGGGGCGAACTCCGCCAATGCAGGTGGTAAAGCTCTGGTTAGATGGGATAATGTTGTTCTCCTAAGCCATGCGGGGTTTAGGTATCTCCAACATTCATAATTTTAATATTTCTCTACTGACAAAATGGCTTTGGAAATACTTTGCCATGGATAATCATGTAGGCCAGGTCCTCTAATCTATCTACCCCTCCAACCCTCATAGCATACCACCAAGTTGCCATCGCTCTAAATTTTGGAAGGATGTCTATTCTTGCTACTAATCTTTTGCTGACATAGTCAAATGGTATCTAGGTAATGATCTTAATTAATATTCTTTTTTGGGAGGATAGGTGGGTTGGAGACAATTCTCTGGCTAGCCTCTTCCCTCTGGCCTACAACCTTGCATTCTCTAAGCTAGTCCCCATTGAATCTCAAGGGAGATTTCACGGAGATAACTGGCACTAGAGACCCATCATCAGGAGACCTATACAGGAGAATGAAAGATTGCAAGTTCAAGCCCTTACTCAACTGTTAGCATTGACTAACCTACATCCTTCTTCCAACATTGTGTTGGCGGTATGCTTGTCCAGCAGATAAGAGGTCAGCGGACAAAAGGATTCCACATGCCGCGTGAAGAGATCGAATCCAGCGGACAAAAGAATTCCACATGCGAAGACGTGTTTGAGCCCTATAAATGCCTTTCCTAGGTTTTCGTGTGGTAGTGTGCAATTGGAGGCGTGTGAGGAGCAGAGGCAGGTACAAGGAAATCACAAAGGGCGGCTGCAGACTTGGGGCTTGCAATCGAGTGCAGAGCAAAGAGAAAGAGGTCTTAGGGCTTCGTGAAGAGAGTTTTGTGCAGTCTATTGTGCTGATTTTGAGAGAGATATTTGTGTGAGGGTTTAGATTTGAGAGATTGTAAACCCTATTTGTATTCTCTTTCCCTCTAATAGTAGATCTCCCCCTTCTTGCCCCGTGGACGTAGGCAGTTTGCCGAACCACGTAAAATTGATTGTTTGAGTTTGTGGCAATTGTAATAGTTTTTAGGATCCCTCGACAGGTCAGTCCTAGAACTGATGAGAGGAAGAGCCGATATCTCACTTGGTTGAGATATCCGCTTCAGATTCTTGTTTCCTTGGTGAGACGGGAATTCTTATCGATCTTTCTCTCTTATTGTGCACCAGAAACTCTGCCGAAATTTCCGCTGCGCACAACACATTGATGTGGTTCACTGGCCTCTCAATAGCTCTTGGATCTTTACAGTCAAATCTTTTTACTTCTTCGTATCAGATGGAGGCCTTCGCAGTCCTCACTGCTCCATTATCTGGAATAACGCATTTTCAAGTAGAGTTGTAGTTTTTCTTTGGCTTCTCTCCATGACCAAACTGAAGACCAAAGATAGACTCCTCAACAAAGGATGGACAGGAGACCCATCCTGTTCCTTTTGCAGTGACCAGGAACCTCACGACCACAATTTTCTTACTTGCCAATTTGCCAAACAAGTTTGGGCATTTTTCCTTCCTAGAATTGGCATTCAATTTCTCCCTCCCCTCACCAAACATTGTTTTGACATATGCTACGACGGGTCTATTGAGACTGCAGTGCGTCATCTATGGAGATTCTACTTTCCAACTATCTGTTGGGTCCCGTGGAGAGATCACAATGAACTTATTCACGTAGGCATCGTCTTAACCCCCAACAGTTGGCCTCCAAGATCGCTTACTATCTCCTTTTCTGGACAGGTGCATCAGCATCCAAGAAGAACCTAAAGCTTAAAACGCTCATCCGGGAGAAAACGTATTTCAGATCTTATAGCCTCTAGTGAAGATATCAATGGAGACGCACGCACCCTCTAGCTGGCATTAGTCTACAGATCTTTTGGCCACACCACTAAACCCTTTTTTTGGACAATGTTCTTTTGCAATTACAATACTTGTTTGGGCTTACTTCTCTTCTATTTTTTATTTATTCCTTGTATATAGTCCTGGTGTATCTACGAGTGATTTCATGCGAATTCCTCATTCTGTAGAGTGACGACAAAGGTCCGCTCCTCTACTAAGGGGGATCTCTGCAAATCACG